ATAATGAATTTATTGTATTTTATTGTTTCATACATGATTTATTATAGAATTTATTCAAATATTAAATCATGAAATGTCATTATATTGATTTATATCTTATATTAATTAATTATGATATCAAGAATAATGTAAATGATGTTCAGAATGAAATAAATAAATGAAATAATGTATTTAAATAATGAAAAATATGAATATTTTATTGTTATCATTGTATTTAGTTAATATAAACATATTATTTTATTAATTTATAAAAATACAAGAATTCATAATTTATTAACAAGAGAAATGATGAGTATCATTGAAGAATCAAAATAAATTTAATTAGATTCTTTTATTCTAATTTATTTTCATCATAAATAATTCTATTATTTGATTTAAAATTATAATTGAATGTGATTAATAACAATGTTAATGTGAATCAATGTTTATTTAATAAGATAATAAGAATAATAAGAATAATAATGTTATTCTATTTTCTATTTTATTTTCATTTATTTTATTATTCATTTAAATATATGTTATTTCTAAATGTATTTCATTTATCTTTATTATCATTTATCTTCAATATGTAATTCTATCATTTTAACATATTATTGATATTCTTAAATTTCATTTTTTATTCAACATAAACAAAGTATAAAAATATCAATTGAATAACTTCATAAATAATATACAATGAAAGTATGTATGAAATAATGATATTAATAAATTATTAAATGAATAAATATAAAATGAAAAAGTATCATAATGATAATTATTGTATAATTATGAAAACAAGAATGTAAATAAAAATAAGATATGAATAACAAATTAAATGTTTATTATAATGAATGATTAATTCAACTCTATCATTGTTTATCTCTTTAGTAATAAAATATTTTGAATATACTTGTATCATGTTTTCTATTTATTTTATTATATTTCATTAAATTCTTTATTATTTTCTGTTTCTTTTATATTTTATTTCATTCATTGTTATTTTCATCTCTTTCATTTCTTTTATTATCATTTGTAATATGATTTCATTCTTTCATTTATTATTTTATTTCATTTTATGTTTTATTTCATTTATTATTTATTATTTCATGTTTTCTTATTCTTTGTTGTTTCTTGTTTATAATTAAATATTCTATTCTTATTCATTTCTATTATTTACTCTATTCTATTATTATATCTCTTTGTTTATTTTATTCTATTATTATTTGTTTCTTCTTCTTTTATTCTCTTCTTTCTTTTTATCATTTTCTTCATTTATCATATCAAATATTCTACATAACAAACACCTAACATCAAATATTTTGTTTATGAACAGTTGTTATTGTAATAACCAATATACATTTCAAAATATTCACAATAAACAGATTAACAACATGATTTTGATATTATTCTTTATTTGTTATTATTCTTATTCATTTTCATATTATTGAACATTTCATTCAACTCTTTTCATTTCTTGTTAATGTTCTTATTCATTTTTATCATTAATTTGAATATATAAACAATGATGTTATATTGAATTAGAAATACTTAAAAGATAACAAACATTTAATTGAAATGAATAAGATAAGAATGAATGAATTAAAAGAATGAACATTAAAATTATAATAAAAGAAATGAATCAACAATAAATTAATTAATATATTCATAATAATATGTGAAATACATAAATGAAATGATGATAAGAATAAATAATAGAATGAAAATAAGATGAAATGATAAAAAGAATACAAATGATAATGAAATAAAGAAAATAAAATTCATAATGATATTATTTCATTTTGTATTTATTTGTTGTTCATTTAATTAATTATCAATTAGTTTATTTCATTTAGAAATAATGAATATAACAAATAAAAGAAATGATGAGAAATGAAAATAAATGAAGAATAGAAGAATGAAAATGATTTGATTAATAACAAGAAATGAAATAATGAATGATAAAATGAAAGAAGAATAATAGAATTAATTGTAATTTCAACAAATAAATAGAATAAAAAGAAGAAGAATTTAAATTATTGATAAATAACTTTATTAAAATATGTTAATTATCATTTCATATTCTTATGTTTCTTTATTTTCATTTTGATTATTTTAATTTCTTCTTTTTCTTCATTGAAATTTAATATAATTTCTATTATCATTTACTCATTTAACTATAATCATTATTCTTTCTTTAATTTAATTCTTCATTCCATTATTTGTTATTATTTATGATTAAATGAACTTTCAAATAAATTATCATTTATTCATCAATCATAATAATAACACACTATATACAATGAATACATATTATTCATTTCTATTTAAATCATTTGATAAATCACACAATTAATATCATTTATAAATAGATATAACATCATACATGATCAATGTGATAGTATACATCAATGATATC